CACGAAAAAGCGTTACGCCTACGCGTTACGCGACGCCGAGGCGTCACGGAAAAGCGTTACGCCTACGCGTTACGCGACGCCGAGGCGTCACGAAAAAGCGTTACGCTGACGCCGAGGCGTCGTGGAACGCATCGTCATAACGTTTTTTTGGGACGCCTCGGCCTCGGCGTCGCGTAACGCTTTTTCGTAACACCTTGGCGTCGCATAAGGCGTCCGCATAACGCTTTTTCGTGACGCGTCGGCGTGATGCTTCTTCGTGACGCCTCGGCGTCGCGTAACACTTTTTCGTGACGCGTCGGCGTAACGCTTGTTTGTGACACCTCGGCGTCGTGTAACGCGTCGGCATAACGCTTTTTCGTGATGCGTCGGCGTAGCGCTTTTTCGTGACACGTCAGCGTCGCGTAACGCTTTTTCGTCACGCCTTTGCGTCGCGTAACGAAAAAGCGTTACGCCGACGGCGACCATAACGGTAGACGTAACGCGTCGGCGTGACGCGTCGCCGTCGGCGTAACCGCGCGGTGCATTATCGGAAACGTGCCATAATGCACCGCGGTGCCGCGCGTGTTGCATTATGAGACGTCTCCCACAAAGCACCAAGCGAGAGGGAGGAGGAGGAGAAGGGGGAGGAGGGAGGAGGAGGAGGACAAGGATGAAAAAGAGGCAGGAGGAAGAGGGCTCCCCCCTGACAGCTCCCCCCGCCTCCCCTTTACCTACCTCACTGGTGTATGAAAATCTTAAAATAACCCGCTGTTACTGAGCCCCGCAACTCGACGAAAGCTTCAGACAAAAAACAACAACAAAAAAAGAAAAATAGAAATACCAATAATTTTTAAGCAAAACATAAAAACTCAAAACAAATATTTAATAATTAAATAAGATATTGCATATCCTCACATATAAAAAAAAATCAAGTTTAATTAAGATGTCGAACACCCTGTTCCTTTTTTTTTTTCTTTTTTTGCACATAAGTTGACGTAGATTTCAGTCAGCAAACAAAGGTTATCATGGAACGTATAGCAGGAGAAGAAGCTGGGACATTAAGTCTGCTCGCCCAAAAAATTGACTTCAAACTGCGTAGAGAACAATATAACTCCAGTAACGGCTGGCCACGGTAGCGACACCGGCCACCGAAATATCAACTGCAGTAGAGTTGGGTCGAAACCGAAACTATATGCCGCAGTCGTATACTTGTCTGATCCAAAGCCACAGCCAATCCAAAGTCTAATCTAAAGCCACAAGCAGCTTCTGGAGCAAGTTCTGGAGTCTGGATTCTTCTCCGTCCCGTCCGTGCAGACAAAGGCCTGTTTGAACCTTCAACGTGCGTGGGTCAAATGATTGTTTAGGTAAGTTTTCTCGATTTCATATTCATAATGCATGCCCGAAGAGTATCATCTACATGTGCTGGATGATCTTCTGAGCACCGTAGCTTACGTTGCCACCGTAATTCGGATGATATTTAACTTTTTTCGACGCTTGAGCGGTCTCCGCGATTTCGTGTCGCGTCGCAGTTCTGAGGGATGTTGGCTGCCTTCGGGAAACGATCGCTATCGCTTGTGGAGGCTGTTCGTTCAAGCCTTGCGTAAATGCTAGCCGCTATCTGGAGAATCCCTTGAATGTTCTGCGATACCGGAGCACTGCAGAGACGCTGATCAGATTGTTTCGAAAGTTCGCGTTGCTATCGGCGAGCCCTTCGGACACGCTAGGGCGCGCTAAACTGAGCTGTGCTGTCAAACGCTTGGATACGGATCTTAGAACGAACGCCTTGAATGTGTTCGGGACGGCGACACGCGTGAAGAACTGGATGTTTTTTACTTTGACGTGTCGTCTCGTCCTTTCTCACGCTTGCGACAGCGTATCCCGGTCAGCGCGCGCTGGCTTTTTGAGCTGCGTCCAGCGGGATGGCGCGGTTGGGGTGCTGGCGTTTAGCGGGTTTCAGCGGGTTGTTAGAACACGCTCCAAGCTGGGCGTCGTCGTAGCGCTCGCGTACGGCGTGTGCCCCGCGCCGGCCTGCTCTGCTTGTCGTCGGTGTTCAGGCGCGCGGGCCTAGAGTTGCTTAAAAGTGTTGACAGGACCCTGTTAAGCTCGTCACTTCCGTTGTTTTCTCCCTTACGGGCCCTGCATATAGACGATTGCAAGCTGGGCGACTGGCCGCCGCCATGTCTCTGCTCGAGCAGGCACGTCCGTGCGATTACGAGCTTGCCAAAGCTACGCTCACCCGCCCGTTGCACGCGCGTGCACGCATGGGGCACCACTTGTGGCGCCATGCTTGCAATTGTCTATATGTCTAGCCTTGCGAGCCACCCAGAGTACTACTACTGTAGCTAATGAAGATTATTATTGTTTGCCTTAATGGCGTTTTAGTTTACCCCGGTCATATTCGTGACTTCTAGAACCCGGGGGTGCACACATACTTTACATGGCTGAGGAAAGAGGTTATATGTAAGCACTGATAGAGTGCAGGCAAGCTGGTAATTCATCAACATCTTGTAAACCCTAAGATGTTTGTTCGTTTTTTTAGCATTCCCCATATCAGAGTTTACAAGATATAGGTTATACGATTTGATTAAAATGCTCAAGAAAGTTGCAGTGTAAAAATTGCACACCTGGCAGGTGCTCTCGCTTGTATAGTGGACAGCTCGCAATGAAAACTCGCACGGCTGTCCCTTTTCGCACTCCGAAAACGGAAGCTTTACCATGGTCAGCACATTAACATTCTGTGGTGCTTAGCTGGTGGGGGCAGTAATGTAGGAAGGGGGAGGGGGGCGGCAAGCAAACAATTTTCAAGATGCAATTGCTTCCCCCCCCCCCCCTTCCCATGCACACACACACAGATGTTCAAAACTTCCGCTGCTGGCGCACCCAAAACAGCCATGACATCTATCGTCTACTTACAAACGTGCACATCATTCTATTAAAAAAAAAAGAAAAAAATCTACAGTAACAAATGGCCGGGGACCAGTGGCGTACCAACTTGTTTTTGAGTGAGGGGGCAAACGACCCCCCCCCCCCCCCCCCCGAGCTGGGGGGGCGGTGCCCTTGGTATCCCTTCGGCGCCGCCGGCCAGTGTTTGCCCTGCCCAGTGACGGCTGTTTAAGGGGGGGGGGGGGGGGGGGGGGGGGTTGCAAAACACATTCCTTGCCCCCACGGTTGGTACGCCCATGGCAGGGGCTTTTCAAGCATTCCCTCATCTAGTAGTGTTGAAAATGTTCAGAAGACGTGTATAGTCTTGTGCTGAGGTCATGGGGGCAGTGGCATAGGAAAGGGGGGTTCTTTTTTTTAATAATATTGTTTACTGGAAATGACTGATTTTCCTGCAGCCCCCCCTTTTCCTATGCCACTGCCCCCATCACCTAAGCACAAGACAATACACGTTAGAAATTGCACGCTGCTCTAGTTTCTTTTTTTTCTTTCGTCAATAAAAATATTTACCCCTACAAAAAAAATTATCGCCAAAACTTATTTTCTTTTTTTTTTTTTTTTGGGGGGGGGGTGATGTGTTTGGGATTCTCTAAGTTTTGGAGTGGGTACAAGATACCCACCCCTTTCCCCTAACCCCTCCCTCCCCCTGCGTCAAACACATACACATACATTGATCGCCTGTGTCCGATCCCCGTGGCGTGAGTACCGTTTAATCTGAAGTGCACCAATCAATGCTAATTAATTTTGTTTTAATAGAAGCAAAAACATTTGCATGAAATTATTATAATTCTGAAACCAGAACCACCAATATTTTTATAAACTCGTCGAGGCTCAAAGCCAGTGTCATTCACAACACAAAGTTGAGAACTTCTAAACCACTCTGTTCATAGCGCGACAAAATCGCACCACACGCGAAGTGCAGATAAATAAAATCCAACACTCTCAACGGCTTCGTGCCAACGCCTTCGTACCCTAATCTCCTAGTACCCCCGTACAGCGTCCGCGCCTCCGCACGCAATCCGCACTCACACTAGAGTCTACTCACACACTTTGAGTGCGGATAAGAATCCAACACAATCCACACTCGGAGTGCGGATTAGAATCCACCACTACCCACACTCGGTGTGCGAATAGGGACAGCCACAAGCCAACTCCCACACCTGCCAGGCACTCTCGCTTGTACAGTGGAGCCACATTCCAATCAAGGAGATCCAGCTTTGAATGTGAAGGCTTCCTACTTCAACTTTTAAATACTTGAGGTTCTGTTAAAGTTGAAGGGAGTCTCTTAAAGCATTTTTGGAACCATGTCCAAAACCCAGTGCTGGGTACAATTTTAGTCTAAAAGGCTGGTCCACACTGTTGCTACCCGCTAGGACTGAGTCTGACAAAACCAGTCTTCAAGCCTCTTATGATCGTGCTGCGCAGCAGCAATGTTATTCGTAAGCAACTTAAAACCCTGTTTTGTTCAACTTGGTCATAGTCGGTTGCAACAGTGTGAACCAGCTTTAACACCTTAGGTGACTGTAATCAACAGTAGCTTCAGGATAAACTTGCGCATTGTACTACCCCAAAGTATTTTGACAACATCTCCGGTGTTGATTCTTGATTTCTATCCCAGCACTACAGAACACGTCAAAAGGCTTGTTGATTGCTGTGCATGTGCCTATCAAGCGAGCTGTGCTATTTCTAGGTGGTGTTTAATTTGTTTTGAAGTTCCCGGGATCTTTTAATGCACCGGTAGGTATCTAAGCTCCACATGCACACTGTTCTTAATACAATTACTTCATGCAGAAGTTAATTTTTCTTATTTGGTTGAGTTTAATGGTGGTGTCGTCATGGTCTTTGCACTGTCGACGGCAAGAGGAGCGTCATGTTGCACTTGTTCTTTTGTTGGTCCGTGAAGCAAGTTCTGGTTTCTTTTTTGTTCCAGAATGTCAGTCTGAGTCTTATTCATGATGTTGCAGGAAGTCTGTATGATGACGAAAAAACTGCAGGTGACTAGAAGCTGCCGATGGGCTGCCAGTCCGGATGGCAGCTATCAACACGGCAAGGGCCTGCAGGCGCATTAGCCCCCCCCCCCCCCCCCCTGTTCCTCTACTGCCATTGGAGACAGGATGCTTTGTAAAAGGTGAAACAGGGCCCTTGCACTGCTTCCACAGTGCCCTGCTGGATTTATCTCGCATTTTGATTTTCAAAACAAACAACATTACAAACTGTAAAATACCGAACAAACGCCCACTCTAAATTGGAGATAATCATAGAGAGCTGGGGGTTGAGCACTTGGCAGGTACGATAGTTGGTAAGTGTTCATGGTACCTTGCTTGGTCTGTGCACGGAATTACGAATAGCTGCATTTGCGGAGCTAGTTAATTATGCAAACACAAAAAAAAAAACAAAGCGTGACCTTTTTTTTTTTTCTTTTTTTACAGAGAAGCATTCTGAAAAGTGTTCGATTAGCATTGGCTGTTACTAAAGCCTTCAATTTACTCTTCTCAGTTAGAACAAAAGAGCAACCCATCTTTTCTTGTACACCACTTTCTGTGGCAATAAAAAGAAAGCTAAAAGGGGGGGGGGGGGGGGGCGGCAGGTGCAAATGGCTCTGTGTTAGCGCACCACATAGTTCTGAAGTTCTTTTGGTCTCGGTTTGAGTTTGGGTTTTGGCATGTCAACCACGCAGTTGCTAGAGTGCATCTTTTTTGTACGAGGATTGCAGTTGAGGGAGTTGAATTGGGATTGCCGAGCATGGCAGGCACATTCACATCTCTTTACTTTCGGGTTACCCTGCACTGCCCGAAGGCATTATTGCAGGGGGGGGGGGGGGGGGGTGAGGGGAGGGGAGGTATGTAGTCAGTCGTGAAGGTAGAAATACGCCCGTGCATATGTACAAAAAAAAAGAAATGCAGGCACGCAGGTAAACACATTCAAAAACAAAAGCGAGCCCAGAATAAGATAAAAGCCACATTGGTTGCTCAGATTCTATAGTCGGTGACAGGTCAATAAGGAAGTGGAAGCTGCTCCCACCTTTTTCCACTCTAGCAGACTGAACCCTGGAGAGGAGGCACCCTCCTTTCCAGCGTTTGCTCTGCTAAAGGGGAAAGAGGTGGGAGGAGCTTTCACTTCATTCTTGACCTGTCACCGACTATAGGTACCTGCCAACGTTCCATGTTTTTGGACGTAAGCCAACACTTTGACCAGTAGGATGAATTGGGCTGTTGTATATTGGGTGTATCAAGGAGCGGCCAGGCTCTTTAAATCGACTGCAAAATTCGGTTTCTTAACCTATCGCACTACGACTTTGTGCAGCGTTGCTCAGGGATGGTGCATTTTTTTTGTAAAATTGCAAAGAGCAAGCGTACTTGAGGAAAAAGCAAAGAAAGAAAAAAGCTTAGCTCCTATGGAAATGCGACGAAGCCAAAGGTCTTCAAACAATATGCCGCCGTTTCACTAGAGAGACAAAAGATGGCACAAGGTGTCATGACGCCAACTGCGCCAACGTACGAGCATACGGCGCCGAAAGCTGGCGTCTTTAGCAGACAATCTTTTCGACTCAAAAGTGGCACGAGCTTTTCTGATATCAGTTGCCAATGCATTATTTTATTATCCTTACTGATAAAGCATATTGAATGGACACATAATCGATTAGAAAAGTGGTTTGTTGGGATATTTTGACTGTTTTTTTCGGAGTACCGATGTCATCTGCTTTGCAGTTCCTTGTTGTTACCGCTCCTGTTTTTGTTTCTGCGACTGTCGCCGCCTGCGCAATGCACTCTACTTTACATGTTTGATCCATTTATTTTGTTCCTTGGTTCGTTAATGACTTGAATGTCTTCTAGTCAGAGCAACGAAATTGAGCGAGTTCAGAAGCGCCTGGCGCGAACAGCTTATGACAGATACTTTCAACATTGTTAATATAATTATGAATCACTTGTGAACTATTTAGGCTTAAATCGTACCATTCGCGATGTGCGTTTTTACATAAAGTAACTTCTGGCCGGACTGATAGCAATCACTCTTATCATCCGTGAACTTTCACGTACCGACGCGAAGTAGTAGAGTGATTTTACCATTTTACCCTAATACCCCATATGATTCCTCACCCATGTCTAGAATTATGCACTTGTATAATAAACTTCATGATGTGGATCTGAACATATATGCGCATACATAATTCCTTATCAACGCTAAAAAGATTGTAACCTCTATATATACTTTGTTTTTTAGTGCTGGGCTTTGTTTCGCTTTTAGCATGCCATATACTCATTCTACAGACCTCTGATGTTCCTGTATTTTATTTGCTCACTTAGCTGCGTTTTTAAGGTGACGATTACTTTTGTTCATGTTGCTGTGTTTTCTGTTTGTTTGTTTTTTTAGTGTGAAGCTAATTTTTTGTTTATAGTGTACCAATAACAAGGTCTTTGCAGCTGTTTTTGGACACTAGCACAAAATAAAGTATTATTATTATTATTATTATTTCTGGAAATGTGCCGCTCCAAATAATTAAAATAACCCTCACTGTAAAACATGCCAACAGCAACATGACAAGAAATTTTAATAAATCGTATTAAATTGTAAATCGTCTTCATGTATTATACAGGGTGTGAACTAATCTGGAAAACCTGGGAGTGTCGGGGAATTTCGAACCATATGGAAAAGTCAAGGAAATTTTATTAAAGAGCTAAATCAGGGAAAATGGTACATGGAAGTGGTGTGGCGGTGTGCAACGAAACCCAACTGTCGTGCAGCAGCGTGTCTGCACTGAGTAATGTTGCCAGAAATGTCACTAGGCAGATCAAGCAACCATCCATTAAAAGGGATGAGCCACTTGGGCTCCATAATTTAGCAACTATGGCGAGCATAGGACCAATAGCAGGTCAGAGTTCTTCGGTCGTATAAGCACTCCTTCGAGAGAAACACCGGTCAGGGAATTTGAAACAAGTAATTCGGTAGGCACATTCAAGCAAATTCTGATGTTGTGCACTGCACGTCACAGTTAGCACAGACAAGCAATGGGCTGTCTTTTTCTTTGTTTCAATTATGTAACTGATACGTGCCATCAGAATTGCTAGTGTGGGGGAAAGTGCTAATTTTGAGCTCCAGCTTAAAGTACTATTTGGGGCGCATCAATATTCTGTATGAGCAAAATGCAATGAAAAAGTGCTAATTTCGTGTTCGCACTAGCAGTGTCATGCAGTGTGCATGGGGCAGGCCGGGCAAAATGAATCGGCACAGCCTATGTCGGTAGTCATTAACAAAAGGGTGACATATCATTTAATCTGGTCAGAACACTCATATATTCACCCATGTCTATTTGTAGTGGTGGTAGGCTTTCATATCTCCCGTGATCATTGCACCAGGGTAACGGACTTGGTTATGATTTTCATATTTTCCCCATTTACAGAAGCAGTCAGACTGATAAAAGGCCTGAGTGGTGCAACGCTTGAAGAAATTGAAGCAGGAGCCAAGGGTTGGCTGAAGAACTGCCGAGCATGCGTAAATAGCGCCACAAAAAGGTATGGTACTTAAGCATTATTTCATCTAAACATTTTCCCTTTTCCTGCTGACTGAGAAGTGGCAAATTGAAAACATACTTAAAAGTCACTTAATAATACAAGCCTTGTATAATTATGACTATGAAACTTAATGTATAGCACTGACTGAAATTTCGGATACCGTACACCTCGTTGCTCAAATTTTCGGAAGTTTTTTTTTTCCATTTATACTTACAAACAGTCGCCGTATGCTTCATTGCAAGCATTTTGGTTGTTTGGTCTCGTAGCCTCGAATCCCCGTCTTACGCATGAAAAAGCTAGATTGGGCCACGGTCAGATATTCCAGTTCCACTATATCCAACATAGCCGCCATCTGGGGGGCAATTTTCTGTATCTTCTCGTGTTTGCATTTCCCTACCGCGACCAGGAGAAGAACTACTGTCCACCATTCTTCCCGTGTTCTTCGAGCGAGTATATTTGGCAGATAGGTGCTGCAGTAAAGCGAGCTTGGTCAGCTGAATGTAGCCTCCAAATCATACCAGCTTTATCTTTACTGTATGCGGCAGCAATGGCCTCAGCAACGCTTGGCACTGCGATCATCCAAACATGTGGAAAGCGACCAGTATGAAGTGGAAGTTGCATGAGAACTTAATATTGGCATCAAACAAGTGGAAAGTGGGCAATACCATGCAGAGGTTGCATGGAATTTTTTCATTTAAGTTAAAGACCGACGACCAGTTCGCGCTTTCCACTTTTCGCCCGCTTCCTCCTCTCCCCCTACCCTTTCCACCCACGCCCGCCCCTTTTGGTCCCTTCTTTCTATCCTTCGCTTCCCTCGCCCGAAGGCGTGGAGAGGAGGGTCTTCTGCCTTGTAGAATCTCGAGTCTGGTCGTCGGCCTTTAAAATAGCTTTTTAGACTGCTTTTTCGGGTTGCCTTCGAGTCCGGAAAATTGGTCGGCATTTGCATTTAGACATCATAGAGTCACTTTGTTGGCATACTATTGCAAATAATTGCTTTGTAGATTGCTCCTTGTTTTTTACCTTGTTTTGCAAAAAACAAAGTAGTTCATGTTGGTCTTGTGGTGTACTTTGGCTAGCAGAATCATTCTCAAATCTTAAAAAGTGGTTTTCTGGACTTCTCTTCTATAGCAAACTTCAGTCATTTTTGGGCTGCTTTGAAATTTCGCAGGAAACGTCTAGCAGTGTCATACAAAATTTGTTTCTGAAAGTAGCTTTATATCCGAAAAATCTTGAAAATTCCTGATAGGCTGCAAAACATGGGGTATTTACAATGGGCACATTATGGGCACATTATATAATGCATGCTTAGACACTTGATACCTTTATAAAACTGGGAAAAATAGGGAATATGAAACTCATAAAAATTTACTTTTCGTTTCATTGCAGGAAGCTTCCACGAGTCTGAGAGTTAAGAAACTTCCATGAGTCAGCCGGAAACTTCCTCAAGTCATCTGGATTGCAAGCCATTATTTCATTTCTTACTGTTTTAAAACTAATAAGCAGTGCATTGAAAGCTTCAATTATATTTACGTACCTATTTTACTAATAAACATGTTTTTACAGTTCTTGAACAGGAGAAAAATTATTTGCTTGCTGGTGCGCAGCTATGGCTGTGTCACTTGAGAGCTTGCGATTGACAGGTGTTCAATATGTGGTGTACTTACAGACATGCAATAGCTATGCTTTGCTATGTTAACCATGTCATCTTATTCACACCAGCTTGGTGCAAAGGCCTATTTTTGCAACAGCGCTTGACTATATTGCAAAGACTTGACTCAAGAGACTGAAAGCCGCTAAGGCAACTAATTAGTGTTGCAATTCTTGATTGCCATGGTAAATCATGGTTGTATCTTGACGTTAGCCCCCTCACATAGTTAGTCGCTGCAGTACGAATCGGCTTCAGTACTCGTCCTTACCACTATATAAGGAGTTTAGGTATTCAAAGCCTTATGGCTTTTTGGGATTAAAATATCCAGGCCGTAACTGGGTGTCCTGTAATAGTTTTCAAGTCGTCTATGGTAGATCTTGCAAGACATCTTGCAGCCCAAGGACTGGGTGTTATGCCGGTTAGAAGACGGCTACAGGACGTTTCAAGACGTCCGGGCTATTAATATCTTGCCAAGATGTCCACAAAACGTCTTGTAGACCTTGCCAAGACAAATTTTAAGACATTTTTTTGTGTAGGCCAGAATGATGGTGCATGAGCTGGGAAAAGTATGGCTAAAACACATCTTATATGCCTTTTTAAGATGTTAAATAGACCTATCTAGAGGTCCTGTAGTCGACTTCAAGAGTTCTTCAAGACATCTTGCAAGACGTCTTGTAGCCCAAGAAAGACTGGGCATTATCCCTACTAGAAGACGGCTACAAGATGTTTCAAGACGTCTTGGGCTATATAACGTCTTGCCAGGATGTCTACAAGACGTATTGTACATCTTGCCAAGACGTCTTTTAGCCGTCTTGTAGCCATCTTTGCGTTCAGTGGGCCTGGAGGTTATGGGTACTGCTCAATTGGCTCATTCCTCGGTGCTTCTCGAAGGTAAGCCTTTTTTCTCTGTGTCCTCCTAAGCTTCCGTTCAAGCATCTCCTTGGTTTGTTTCCTTGCCCTGCCTTTGCCTAATCGCGCCCGAGAAGTGTATTCTGACAGGTATTTTCCTTAGGCGAGCATCTCTCCTCGCGCTTTTCGTCAAACCGTCCGACGGGTAGCGAGTTCTAATCGCGAAGCCATGATTCGGTCACCCAACACGTCGGTCGACCTGTCAAACGTTTTATCGCACGTGGGTCGTCACTTCGCGTCGGCACGCATCGCTGCCTACGCATATCTGTACTGGCCAGGTTTCTTTGTTGGCCCGCGCGTCTTATCGCTGTGGGTGATCTCGAGCGACGCGAGCGAAACGCGTAAAAAAAGAGAACATTGTGGTTGGAGCCGTTTGATCTACTGCGCTATATATATATAGAGAGAGAGAGTGTAAAGCTATACGCACTCCGGAGTGCACTTCGGACGGAAATGGCTATACGCACTCCTCCGAGAGATCATGCCGCTCGGGCCGCCCTTTTAGAACGGCGCGTGTATCACTGGGGAGCTCGTTAACACAGCTCCCCGCCTGCGTTCACGCCGCTTCGCGGCGACAGTATCGGCTGCTAATTACAAATCGTAACCAGTACACGCCGCTTCGCGGCGTCCACCCGGCAATCCAAGCCCCGCTGTCCCCGATCGCACCTCGAAAGGGAGTCCCATACCATTTAGTTTTGCGAAGTTTCTCAACAACATTCGATTTTTCTTTTTTTTACTGTTTATCGCGAAAAAAAAAAAAGAAATGTCCTAAATATCGCCAAATGCCTCGACAAAACAAAATGTTTGAGAAAAAAAAAAGAAAAAAAAAAGCAGGCCCACTGCCGATAGAACCCGCGTCCACTTGCGTATGAAGCGGACAATTTGACCCCTATGCCATGCCTCCGCTTAGAAAATTCGTTGTGACCACTCGTTTTATGCGAGAAAAGCGGAGTGCGTATAGCCATTTCCGTCCGAAGTGCATTCCGGAGTGCGTATAGCTTTACTCATATATATATATATATACATATATATTTATTTATTTATTTATTTGGACACACAAAATAGACGGGCACTAATTAACTTCACTAACATGCTCACATACTCTTTACTTGTCATGATTTTTGTGTGGGCTTTGCCCGATGATGCTAGTGAGTCATTCTCGTTTCAAGTAGAGTGTCCAAACCATTTTGCACGCATGTTCGGACTCTCGGGATTTGCAGAAACTGGGAGTCTGCAACGCCTGCTGTCCTTGTCTTTTTTTCTCCAGTTCATCTTTTTTCCTTGTGCAACAGCAGACTGTCGCACAGGAGCGACATCTTTTTCATGCGTGGTGTCACCTGTACCGTAGAATGCTGGCTTCATAGTGTGGCCCGTGAGGCTGTGCGCTTTCCGCTGTCTGCTTTCACGAACACAAATACGGTGATGTACCCAGAGTGCACTGCTCGCTAGCCTTGCGTGAGTACACTCTATATGGTATACGTTGTTCAAAGTACCTTTATGCATAACTGATCCAACCTGCATTCTCTTTTGCCATTGCCGGTAGCAAATTGTGTCTGTTTAGTATTGCACACCTGCCAACTTCCCCGTATTACCCAGAAGTCTCTTAAATTTTGATCAGTTTGTATGATTGACAGAAAAACCTCCCGAAAAGAGAAATTACCCTCCCCCTCTCTTTTGTACTAAAGAAGAGTTTTTGCCATCACTGTGGACGGCTGCAATCCCATGAGCATAGGCAGTGCAATATATAAATATAATGAAGTTGTCTTCATGCAATTTTGTTCTCAATATTTCTTTTTAAAACACCCCCCCCCCCCCTCCCCTGCTTAGAAATTATCCCGAAGTTGGTGTCCCCAAACTTGGAAGGTATGGTACTGTCTGTGCCTTTTCTATCTTGTGTCATTTATGTAACGTAATATATCTGTTCTTCATATTTATAATCGCTGCAGGCCTGGTGAAGGAGGAGTTGCTCAGTGAACTACTAGTTTGAGTTCCCTGAGACGGACACCACTGACATCACCTACAGTGCCGAGGTACAGGCTTAATGGCAGATATCAATAGGAGATGATGGTAAGCTGTCCTATTTCTTTAGCAGTGTCGGAGTAACTCACTTGAGTTTTCATCACTGTTTTCGCTGGCAGTTTGTTGCCTGCACACAAAAATGGTCCATTAATTGTCCATGTCCATTAAAATTGATGCAGCCTTCACACTTCTGCGGTTTAGAGCGATTCGCAGACATATGTCGATCATAGTCGAAACAGCGTGGCTTATTATTAGAGTTGAATGCAGAGTTTCGCTTGGCAACTTTTTGGCCACATCGATCACTACAAAACATTATTTGCCCTCTCAGGTACGCGTCACGTCTGTTTGGTTGGACAGCCACCAAGTTGACTTGGATGTCAGCGCCTGTTGTCATCAGAACCTGGTTCTTGTGCTGCCACATCATTTTTGGTGGTGTCGCTGTCGTCACCTCCCAACGCTTGCGCTCCCCGAGTTCCCATTCAAGATGGTGAGTGGTATACTTGTGGGGGCCTCGCTGCTGCAGGTGCTGCCATGTAGCTCTGGCTCGTGGTGGCTCCACCGCCATCATTTGTGCTCCCTGTGATCCCAGCCGGAGTGGTGACGGGGATTATGCAAGGGCTCTTTGTCGCAGGTGCTGCCACGGACTTTGGCTCGTGGGGGTGCCGTCGCTACTGACAAAGCCTGTGCTCCCCGTCGTCCCTGTTGAAATGGTGGCTGGAACTTGGAGAGGGTTTGCTGCCACAACCGGTCAGTTCAAGTTCCGCACAATCTGCCGTAGCCCTTGGGAATTCGTTCCTTCCATGTTGAGGTTCTAGTAGGAGAAGTCCACCGCTGTTGAGCTACATGTCACCACAGCAGTCAATCTGCAGAGGGGCATGGCCACGTGACCACACTTCTGAAATGTTAGAGCCTTGTTGTGGACATGGAGGCCGGTGTGAGAGATTTAATATGCGTCTGGCACATCTGCCCGGCGAAAGAACTCATGGGTGTGCCACATGGAAAGTGAGCAGACTGTGCAAGACTCTTTTACAAACTGGCGCTAAGTATAGGTAGTGTCTGAATCATTGTTGTCTTACGTAGGTGATACTTTCTAGGCGTAATGTGTTAGTAGATAGCTATGGTGTTATTGCTTAACTCTGAACAAGATACAAAGTATGAGACATTTTCAGGCCAAGTAAAAAATTTCTGCTCACTTTAATCTTGAAGATCTTCCAGAGTTTCACATCATCCAGCAATCCTGAAGGCAATGCACCACATGTAATTATAATTAATATTCCCGCTCTTAATTTACCAGGAAGGTGTTAAAAAATGAAAGCCGTTTACAATTCCCTGTAACGCCGGTTAGAGCCCAGCTCTTGAGGAGGAAGATGGAAGCGTACTGAGGGATAGGTGACTCCTTGAGGTCACGTGACCTCAAGGGGGTCACGTGACTTCAGGGGGTCACGTGACCTCCGGGGGTCACGTGACCTCAAGGTGGTCACGTGACCTGGGGGTCACGTGACCTAAGGGGGTCACGTGACCTCGCGGTTACGCCGACGGCGACGGCGACGCCGACGGCGACGCCGACGCCGCTCAAGCCGGAAACGGGCCCCTAAGAGCTGCGCTCTAAAAATTGTAAGTAGTGTTAGTTGCTTAGGAGAGCGATGTGTTGCACCTTGGCGTTCCATTCACTTTGGGATGAGGTGCTTCATTCTTGTGCGTCCTTGGTTGTTTCCTTAGCCCCTAAAGATGTTGGAGATTTATATGTTTTATTTTGGGGGAAACCATGTTATGTTAGTATCTGGCATGCTTTTTTTTATTGCTGAAAGCTGTTTGAAGTGAGCCTTTTGTCCACCTCAGAGCATAATGATTGGGAGCTTCACTCAGGTGTGTTTTCTGGCCACACCGCAGAGCATGATTGTAAGCATTGATGCATGCTATTGATACCAAGATCGGGACTTCAGAGAGGATCAGTCAAGTCTTCCTATTTCTATTTCCATTGATTCTTTGGCATTCTAGATATCTTTTTGTAAGCGTGTTCACGTAAGCTTGTTCAACTTTCGTGGTCATAGTATCGGGTCGTTCTGTAATTATCATATGCTTTATGCATTTGTCATTAGTCTCATCTGAAGTTGTCATGGGCACATGGCTGACACATTTGATGCTGCTTTGATTTGGAGGGTAAATATTGTCCGCCATAGGTCTAGCAAACTTCATATATTCTACACTTCAAAATTTTCTCGTAGACCTGATTACTAGGCAATAAGCTCCTTTTCAATATGTGCATTTACTTAAATTGAAAAGCCAAAAGGCTTTTAATAATCAGCCACATGCAGAATAAGAACAGTGTTTCTGCCACCTAGTGTGGGAGAAAATGGGTGGGGGGGGTGGAGGCCAAAGCAAACGCAAGCAGTGTGAATACAACTCTAGGACTTATATGCGGGGTAAGTGAGGAATTTGAACTGTCTACCAAGACCATGTAGCTCACACATTTAGCAGAGGATAATTTTGTTTGATTTAACAAGCTATTGGGGTGGTTGTAAAGCTCCTATACAGCCTCACATGGAGTCACCCTGCATGCACTGATCTAGACTGCTCGTTTCACATAGATTTTTGTGACCTATTGATCTAAGTGCTTCTTTTATTTGCAAATTTTTGTGTTATTCAGGATAATTGGGAACCCAGCAAAAGGTTGGCATGTCATGGAGTAAACATGCCATTGTACAGTGTGCTTCACTCTAAAATGTAATGCATGAGCAGTGGCCAAAGCTGATGACACTTGTCTAATGAGGAAATCAATGATACTGCACAAACTGAAGCATATCTTCCTGGGACCGTTGCCATTCCCCTATACAATTATTGCATGACCTCCTTGTTTTTTTTTATTGCCCTCAGTTAATTTGACGAGGACTGGATTGCTGTTATCCTTAATAGGTCGGCGTGTCACGTTTATCTTGAGGTCCAATTAACGGGAAATTTGTTTTGATAAGTTAAATAAGCGGAACAGCAAAATATTCAGAGCAATGTCTTTTTTTTTTCTTTCTACTTTTTTGCATCACCGAAACATTTATTGGTCACCGCATTGAAACTGGGAGTGTAACGCACGAAGAGAACTGCAGTGTGACCCTCCAGTCTCTGCCGTCAGGCGATGCACACATTCTACTACATAAGTGCAGGATCAGCTTTTTCTTTTTGGGGGGGGGGGGGGGGGGCGATTTTTCTGAGATGACATGAAAATGTTGTGGTCATCACCATCAAAGTGATTTGTTGTCTGCATGTTCCCTGCTTTAGTGACAAGGCCACTGACAAGCCGCTTCACGCGTACTAAATTGAACCGCTTGACAAGTTGCTCAAACAATAGTGATACACAAATGGCAGTACGAGGACAAGTTGAAGAACCACAAGTAGCGCTTGTCCTATCACTTCTTCAACTTGCCGTTGTCCATAGCACTATTTGTGTTTTGCTCCTCTTCATATGCTTCATAAAGAGCAAATATATAAGGCTGCTTAATAAAATGACAGCGTCCGTCAAATCGGTAAACATTTCTCTGTAAAACATATTGCCCTGGCCAAGTCCAAGTCTCGTTTTCACGATGAGTCGCATAGTGAATCGGCTAACAATGGTTGATGAATATGATGTAGTTCTACTGAATCAGTAGCATACTTCAATCTCTCTTCTGCACAAAACCTATGTTTCGGAGCGGTTGACATAGTTTTTTCTCGACAGCCGAGGGGCTTGAAGCAAGTGCTTAATGTCTGTGAGCCTCCACCATTGAAATTTTAACTTGTCACTTGCTCTAGAACTTGATAATGGAGCAATGGCAGATTTTATGAAGTTTGCGAAACCGACGACGGAGACCTTCGAATGGGAAAGGTTTACAGGGCTAGAAAAATAATGACAGCACATCCTCACTCACAATTATCTGTAATAAAAAAAACGGTGCCCAAAGAACTGTAGCTAGTTTTAAGTGTCACTCGCTGAAGCGGTTTGTATATTGTGTTAATTCCTGCATTTTGCTGTTTCTTTTTCTGTTTCAGGATCCAGTGTTACATTCCTGTGGCTTTTTGGTTGTTTCCCAATTATTGAAGGGAGTTGCAGGCTTATCATGGGCGACACAGTGCTTTGGTGAGTGTACCTTTTATTTACTGCTTGGCCAATCAAATCGAGTGGCTTTGCAGGAAACTCTACAGTTTCAGGATGTTTGAGGGTGTGTTCTCCTTCAGACATTCTGAAATGGCACAAATTTTTTTGTGCTGCATCACTATACTCTGTTGAATGACCAGCTGAAATCGTAGTAGAAGCTACATGCTCGTTGGACCAGTCATATGTCTACCTTTCGCCATGTGTTACACTCCCGCCCATAACCATGTGCAGAAGGCGGGGTCAGGTAACGAGAGGGAGGTGGTTGATTGATCCGGTGGGTTCGTAGTTACAACCACAGTCAGCTTAGAGGTGAATGTTAATTACTCAAGCTTTAAATAGGTCACAGTACTCAAAGCTTGAGGAACACCTGAGAAGTTTTTAGAATGTTTTTATTTACTGTGTCTACTCGCTCCATGAGTCTCAAACTACGTCCAGCTCGGCTAGCCATCAAGCCAATTTTCTTTCGCCGCCAAGCGGCCAGGCCACTTCAATCCAGGCAAAGCATAGCGGTACATGCTTTCATGGCTGCAAGTGTGTAGTTGCGGATGTAATCAAGAGTGAAACCGAGCGGCGGATACACGTAACAAAGCTGGGGTCGAGGAATTGCCCAGCTTTGGACATGTTTCGCCCACCGAATGCATTGATGTCAACAAACACACGGTCATCTGTAGTGTGCTTTCGGACAGTGAAATCGTGAAAGTGGTTAGGCCTAAGGACGGTCGCGTCACTCACCATGCTGAGTGAGCTTCCCTAGTAAAAAAATCTTAAATGTATAAAAAAACTTTATGTCCAACAAACGCGTATGCTCCAATAAGATCATATAAGAAAATACAAGAACCTTATAAAAACATATAAGAACAATATAAAATTATATCTGAAGTTATAAGAAACTTCTTTTCTGTTTCTTAAAACTTCTTATATAATCTTATATATTTCCTATATTGTTCTTATACGCTTTTATAAGGTTTTTATATGATCTTATTTGGTCATATGCTTTTATTGGACACCTAAATTTCTTACATGCAAGATTTTTTTACTATTCACTAGGAGGGCGCTTTTCCTTTGACAGAAGGCACACCGAAAGCACCCTAAAAAAAGGTTTTAAATTGTAGAACATGGTTATTGTAGCGCGCCCACGACCAGCCGTCAACGCGCCTCCGTCAGTGGAGACATGCCACAGTACTTTGCCGTGTCATACTGCCACCTAAAATTACATTTTTGCGAAGTGTGTAAATGCAGAAATTTACCCTGGATAATGAACGCACCCCCGAAATATATGTCAATTTCAGAATAAAGAGGTGTGTTCATTATGCGGGTAAATATGGTAAAAAAGTGAATGATGACTCAAACAAATGCAAAACTCATACATTGGAATTTGAAAAAAATCACCAACCATATCCTACAACAAGGTCCCAACGTTTCAAAAACAGCTTGTTTTTTTCTTCAGGCGTGACTGCTTCCAGATAGGGGACAACAGCTTTGTTTTCTTCTACGATAGTCTCTTTTTTTTCACTTCGTTAGGTGGCTGAGTCCGTTCACGTAGTATGATGGCAATGTGCCAGTGGACCTATTGATGTTTCCTGGTGTTTGGATATGCCATGACTATAAAAAGCTGCTGGCAGAAGTTTGTCTCAACATTTATGAGGGTGTTGGCAAAGTTGATGCGATATTCATTGTCCTCACAGTGCTCTGCAACAGCGCTGCGCTCGTGGTCGAATTTGCAGACATTGTTTTTGTGTTGTTGAATTCTTTCGGGGAAGTTCTTTGTTTTTCCAATGTAGGTGGCATGGAATTGAATATACAATGCCCTGCGCTCTTTGTTTAGAGGGATGACCTTTAATTCGCAGCATCATACATCAAAGTGTTGATACCGGTTTGTGGGACACCGGAATACTTTCTTTTACCAGCATACATGACAGCGCTTCGCTAGTCCCCTATATGTAGGGAACACAGATGCGGGTGTGTGGACGGATGTTTTTGAGTTTTTAAGCTTTCTCCCGACCAGGCAGGCCTCTGCCAAAATGTGTACCCTCAAAACTTGCACTGCATGTAGTAATGGCTCTTGGTCTGCGAGAATTTTTGTTTTAGTTTTGTGTTTGTTGAGCATTATTGGGCGAATGAGAAAGGCTATGCCACCTCATTATGACCACAGTAAAAAGAGCTATACACTTGATAACATAGTCCTGTCATGTTTTTGCTTTGAAAAAAATGTTAACACACAAGATTAATCTATTTCTTGACCCCTTGACTGGGGACCCATGACCAAAAAAAATTTTTTTTGTCCCTATTTTGCCTATATTTTTTGTACGAAACTCTTCTTGTGCTACCATCATAGTTTTAATTTCTAAAGGAAAATTATTTCCGATGTTAGGGGATAGATGGTGCTTCCTCCCGTACGATAAAAAGAGTGAGCGTTTAAAGACGCACTCCCCAAACTGATTGAAGAGTGGTGCATCTATGAGTGCGCCCCCCAGGCTGCTGTTAAAATTGCCAAGCATCCAAAGATCTTATCAAAAGTAATAGATAAATCTTTGTCTAAGGTCAAGTGAATATTTACATTCAAGTAATGACGCAATAACAACATGGCAGTGCCCACAAGCTGCATGGGCATGAACGAATTTCACCCTTTAAATGGATGAATGACCGTTTTGGCAGAACTGGACAATGAGGAAAAGGGTACCAATACTTGAGTGTGGGTTTCTAGGGGCTATTATCATTTTAAATTGCAATTCTCATTTGCTCTTTCAGCTCGCACCTTCACGGAGTACAGCAATGTGGGGAAGCATGTCGAGGACAGCCTCTCTCGATTTCTGTCCCGGGGGCGCTATGCTCTTCCAGGTAAGCTGCTTCCCTCTGTTAAGAGACACGAGTAGACCCTTTTATTCAAGACAAGAATGACGATAATAATCACTGGAGATGGGGAACAAGGGGACAAAGGAGATTCCTCTTTGACCTTTCTCCCCCTTGTACCCCTTTTCCAGGGATTATTGTTGTATTCATACTTATTACATTATTGTGGAGTTGACATTTTGACAACCTGTGGTTGGCTGATGTGTTGTGGAAGTTAAAGCTATTGCACATTCAAACATTGTGTGAAATACAGTAGAACCCTGCTGCTGCATCTTTATCTAGTCACAATAAAGGATCATGACATGAGCGAAGATGTAACAACTGCTAATGCCCTTGGGATAGCTATAGATGTTTCAGGAAGCTGTATTCTCTGTTTATCTTACCTTAGCTTTTTTGGCTGTAAAAAAGATTGCCTTATTTTATATGTTGACAATTTTTTCAACACTTCTTAAAATTGTGGTTGAACTATAAGTAACTCACTGTTTACAGACAAGCTTGTGTTTGCCCACAGCAGCTATGGGCAGCTATACGCAGGAACTAGATTCGTGTGAGCAGACATGTGTGCACATGTGCTGTGCCGACAGCCGCACCATCGCAGTGATGCGTTGTCTATAGTTGCAGTTAAAAAAATATTGAAATAGATGCGAAAATTCTGAGCCCATCGAGCTAAACCACAGCTGCCTCAAACAAATCACTGCACCCTGCATGCCACATCAAAGCAGTGGGGCTTGATGCAATCAGCACTGCTTGAACATGGTGGCATGGAGGTGGTAAAGAAAAATGGGGTGTCGTGAGAGCCTGAATCAAGCAAGAAACACAGTGCAGAGAGGCAAGGAGGTAAAATAAAGGGAGTAAAGCAAAAGGAACAGGGTATGTGTTCCTAGTAGTCATGCCGGCCACCTTGAGTGGCAGTGTTTGGGCATAAGAACCAAGAAGGAAATTCATGAAGCCTGTAATTCTAACACATATATACTTTTGGACGTTCGATAGGACCGGTTTCCGTGAACATAACAGCCGAGAAAACATGTGAGCAAGGTTCTTCTGTGCATATTTTTGAATGTGCTACAAGAATATTTCTGGTTATATGCCCACTTAATTTATAATGTTTTTCTTCTTTCAGCTGACACCTTACAGACATGTCAGGAAGCAAGGAAAGGTTATTTTTTCACTCATCGTTTACATTTGGGTGATTAACTTAGTCTTGAAAAAAAACACGTCATTTTAATGACATTGTGATAAATAAATTTTGGGTCTTTAAGTTGTCCTTCAATCTTTGTTTTCTTCCCATATTGCAAGCCGGCACTATGTGTATCAGGCACGGAATCAATGGTAGGCCATGTAAACTATTGCAGTTTTTCGGCTGGCCAGCTTAAAGTTTACGAGGGGTTGACACTGGCGAAATGGTCACGAAATTCGATCAAATGACGTCTACGTGATAATTATGCCCTTATAAAAATGGTTGATGCCATTTTGTATTATTGCCAAATGGCAACAGGTGTTTAAGAGCAGTCAATCAGCAGGCAACAGATGTTAATCGTCATTGAGATGTCATCTTGTTGACCCGGATAGCCATTTCGCCACCGTCAACTTTTTGCCGTTGTATTGGTTAGTGTCGGTGCATTGCCAGTGTATCTACATGCTAATGCTAATTGGCTCTTGGAGGCAGTCAAAAGACTATAAAATGTATAGTCCTTTGATTGCCTCCTTTAGCCATTTAACGTTAACATGTAGATACACTGATGATACACCGACAATAACCAATAGAACGGCAAAAAGTTGACGGTGGCGAAATGGCTATCCGGGTCAGCAGGGTGACGTCTCAATGACGATTAACATCTGTTGCCTGCTGATTGACTATTTGTAAGCAGCTGTTGCCATTTGGCAATAATATGACTTTCAAATGGCATTAACCATTTTCATAGGGGATAGCACAGTCAGCGCACAGACGCGTGCAGGGACACGCTCTTTCACGCGCTTCTGAACAAAAAATAAATGTAAAAGTGGGAACAAAATGGCCAGATGTCTCCACCCTAAGCAAAGCGCACATGAGGGCACCTATAATCACAAGAGAGTGCACGCCCTCAAATACCAGGCTATCATATGCCCCAATGAAATTATCTGCGAACTCGACGGGGCCATTCCCCGGTCACAGGCACGACGCTGTTAGGTGTAGCTTGCTCTTAGCCCATCCTGTAGTTGAAGCAGCACGACAGTTATATAGATTTTTATTATAGGGTGTCCCAAAGCTTTAGACCCCAAAGAAATAGGGGCTCAGCACTGCGCATGCGTAGAACCCAAAATCTTTTTGGGGTTTTAGGTTTGCTCGCGCCCCCAACGTGAAATTCGAGAAATAGCGTGGGGCCCCCCAAGTGCTTGGGGCCGGGGGGGCTATGTTGCGCTTTTTGCACTCCCAGGAGACTAGGGAGAGGGAAGTGACGTCAACGACACAGCAAACGCAGATTGGGTGTTGATTTCGTCTTCTTCTGTCAACATCCAATCTGCATTTGCTGTGTCGTTGACGTCACTTCCCTCTTCCAAGTCTCCTGGGAGTGCAAAAAGCGCAACATACCACTCCGGGTTGTGTCGGCAAACATGGCGGCGCCCATTCCGCTCGCTTCGGTGGAAATTCGTCATGGTCGCTGCAGTATTAGCCAATTTCATTGCCAATGAGTAGTGCAACCGGCTTTCGCTTTGCTTAATTTCGCTCAAGTCACAAAGAATGAGCGGTGGGTTCACCCCATTTTAAAGATCGTACCCCATTCTGGCCGTTCCTAAGCCTAAACATACGTCGTAATTGTTGACAAGGTGACGTATTGCTACGCCGTGGCAAAAGGCTCGTTCACACAGACCCGTTTTTTTACGTTACGAAAAGTCACCGGGAAATCTGTGCTTCGTATTAAAGGGGCAGTCAAGTGGTTTTTGAGTTCGTGTTTTGATAATGACAGCTGAATTTAGACGCCTTAAAGGAGCGATGCAACAATTTTTGTACTTTGCACAAATACCGCTTAAAACGGATCCCTAATGTTAATGACCTATGAAACACGCGTTCGTTTTTCACCCCACGGAATAGAAGTCCCAGACAAAAATTGAAGAAAAACGAGCAGCGTTCACCCCCTCAACTCGCAGCCAGAACAAGCGGCCACGTGATCTGGAGCCGATTATATGCCGCCAGTGTTGATCATAGCCACGCGCTGGGGCTGGCAAAGCGCAGGACACGAGCTGAGTTCCAGACATTGTTATGGCACGGCTGTTGTCGTCGTTGCAGCGATTGGACACGGGTCACTACCCGAATGCTTCCCGAGCTAGCAATTATCACGAGCCCAAGTCGAGTGCCCACGTAATGCTCGGATCCAATCTATGAACCGCATTGAAATATCGTCACTTGGGTGTACTGCGATCCCCACGTTACGTCATCAAATTTTGCAAAGGAGAGATTGAATGAAAATTATCGCTTTTCTCCTTGAAATTACACCGCAACAAAGGAGTTTCCTGGCCAGTGGCGTTGCGTGTGAGTATCCTTGAGTCCCAGGTGTGCCAGTAAGCTCGTGTCAAGTGAAAAACATTCCAATTGAATATTGTTGCACCGGTCCTTTAAGTATCCCTAAAAACCAAGAAGTATAGTCATACGGTGATTATTTCTTCAATAAAAATCTAATTGAAGGCCCTGCAGTAATGTTTGGAGGTGGGCTAGTCGGTGATGCATTGTAAACATAGAAATAAAACAGCGCAAACAAACACAAGGACAAGTAGAAGGAGGGACACAGACACAGCGCTGACTCACGACTTACTTTCTTTCTCATCTTTTTAAAACATTTCAACATAAGAAAAAAGAAATGAAAAATAAAAGAAGAAGAATCCAGCATGTAGGATATCCTCTCTGTCATATGCCATCTGAAGAATTTTTTACACAAACTAAACATTATATACCATTACAACAACAAAAAAACCAAATTAAAAAATTAAAAAAAGCCAAAAAACCACAGAGCGAGCCCTAATGCTCTGTGCGTACCTGTCTTGCACGCGGACTCTTGGTATGTCGGAACCCTTTCCTGGCTGCATGTAGGCACGCGCCTGTGGTTATAGGATCACCCCCATGGAAGCAGAAAGAAAGTGTTAAAGAGACGTGCCTAAACTCCGAAGAAACGTTATACAGTGAAGAGTTCGAGTTTCTTCGGAGTTTAGGCACGTCTCAGGCGGATCCCATTCCTCTGCAGCCAGTCCAGGTACTCGGCGCTGGCGAAAGCGGGACCATTGTCCCACACGATAATGTCCGGCAATCCCTGCGCCGCGAAGACCTGCCGCAGAGCCGCAATGGTCGCGCTTGCCGATGGACTGGTGACTGGCAGTGCCTCCACCCACTTGGAGAAGGCGTCCACTACCACCAGGAAGTAGTGGCCCTTGAAGGGTCCCGCATAGTCCACGTGCAGGCGGGACCACGGCATCTGTGGGAACGGCCAGGGGGTGATCCCCACGTGGCGCAAGGCTCGCTAGTTCTCCTGGCAGACCTGGCAGCCTTGCACCTGGTGCACGATGTCCTGGTCCAAGACATGCCACCAAACGTGCGACCGTGCCACCATTTTGGTCTTTTCCACGCCGGGATGCCCCGCATGCAGCAGCTGCAGGACCTTGGCCCGGAGACTGTGTGGAATCACCACCCTGGAACCCCACAGCAGGCAGCCCTGCTCCAAGCTCAGCTCGGCGGTCTTGTGGCTGTACGCCTGGTGACGCAGCTCCTCCCCTCGGGCAACCGCCTTGACCACCCGAGACAGGACCGGGTCCCTGCTGGTCGCCTGCGCCACCGAAGTCCTGGTGAGCACCCCCGGGTAGGCCCGCTCCAGCAGGAACACGTCAGCTGGCTCTGGAACGGCAGCAGGCACCTCCGGCAGGGGCAGGCGGCTCAGGGCGTCGGCAGGTCCGAGGTCCTTTCCAGGGCGGTAGAACAACTTGTAGTTGTAGGCCGCCAGCGTCAAGGCCCAGCGTACCACACGAGGCGATGCTTGCACTGGGACTGCCTTGTCAGGCCCCAGCAGCCCTAGCAGTGGCCTGTGGTCCGTGACCTCTTCTAATTGCCGGACCCACAGGTATTGGTGGAAGCGCTCGACCTCGAACATGAGGGCCAAGCCTTCCTTGTCGAGCTGGCTGTAGCGTTGCTCCGCCGAATGAAGCCGACGAGAAGCAAAAACCACAGGGCGTTCCTGACCATCCTGACCCCGGTGGGACAGGACGGCTCCTACCCCGCACGGTGACGCATCCACAGTGAGGACTACAGGCTTGGCCGGGTCGAAGTGCACCAGCACTGGAGCCTTAACGACCAACTCCTTGCTGTGCTGGAAGGCCAAGTCCTGCTCCTTCTTCCAGGCCCACTGCTGACCGTCACGAAGCAGGCGATGCAGCGGCTCTAGATGCCGTCAACAGGTTGGGCAGGAACCTCCTGTAGAAGTTGATGAGGCCGAGGTAGCTCTGAAGCTCCTTCTTGCTCTTGGGCTTCGGCGCCTTGAGCACGGCCTCGATCTTGCGGGGTGCCGGGGCCAGGCCAGCCTGGGAGATGTTGTGTCCCAGGTACTCCTCGCTGGGGGCAAGAACACGCACTTGTGCAGCCTCAGCTTGAGACCGGCGTCCTGTAGTCGTGTCAGGACTTTGGGCAGGTTCTGCAGGTGGTCCCCGTCGTCGGTACCGGTAACCAGGATGTCGTCCAAGTACACTGCCACGTGCCTCATGCCCCTGAAGAGGTTGTCCATCTCTCTCTGGAAGATGGCTGGGGCTGAGGCCACGCCGAACGGTAGGCGCGTGTACTGGAAGAGTCCCATGGTAGTCGAAATGTTGACATACTTCCGGGCGGCATCCTGGAGCACCAGCTGCTGGTAGGCATCTCGAAGGTCGAGCTTGGTGAGCTTCTGTCCCCCGGACAGAGCCGACCAGAGATCTTCTACCCGAGGCAGCGGGTACTTCTCGACGGTAGCAGCGGGGTTGATGGTGACCTTGAAGTCCCCGCAGATCCTGACGCGGCCGTCTCGCTTGAGGACTGGGACAATTGTTGCGGCCCACTCTGAGGTCTTGACGGGCACCAGGATACCCTCTCGCTGCAGCCGTTGCAGCTCCTGGGTGACCCCGTCATTCAGGGTGAACGGCAGCGGACGGGCTTGAAGAACCGAGGCCGGGCTCCCTCGGGTACGTGGATGCCAACCACCGTGCCGGCGAAGGTGCCCACCCCCGGCTGGAACAGGGACTGGAAGTCGGTCAGGAGGCTCGGGACGTCCTTCACCACGTGCAGAGCAGCTTCTTGGTACTCCGGCAGCCGAACACCAAGCGAGTGAATCCAGTTCCGGCCCAGCAGCGTCGGCGACGACCCCTTGGTTAAGTAAAGGGGAAGGATTGCCTCCCTGTCGCCAAGGCGAACGCTGGCTAGGGCCCGACCCTGGACCTGTGAAAGCTGCCTGGAGTAGCTGCGCAGCATGACGTCCGACGCCTCGTTGGACACGCAAGGGAAGGTCCGCTTGAACAGCTTCCCGGGCATGACCGACACGCTGGCCCTGTGTCCAGCTCCATGGTGATGGGGTGCCCGCAGACTTCGACTGACACCAAGTAAGGTGGCACAGACGATGAAAGTCTATTGGTGTGCCACACGTCGAAAATCTGCGGTTCCTCGGCCACGACGTGGACCCTGGCTGAGGAGGTACCCGCACCTGGTGCCGCTCGTCCCCGCCGCGTTTTCTTGCGACGGCCACCCTGGCCGCGGGCTTGGCTGGAACCCGGGCTTGAACCAGGCTGCTGCTGCTGCTGGCCGCCGCTCGTCCTCCCCCTCGGCAGACACATGCGAGATGCCCAGCTCTCCCTGACGTGAAACATCGTGCTTGGACGAACTGGCACTGTGAGGGGGAGTGGGCAGCACCGCAGCGGCTGCAGGCACCGCTCCTTGTCGCCATCTTGTTCACCGCCGCTTCCGTCGACGGAGAGCCGGCCGCACGCGCTATCTCGCTGGCGTCCTTAGCTGCTGCTTCCATCGCCTGCGCTGCCTTCACCGCGTCGTCCAGCGAGGGGTCGGGGAGCTCCAGGAGTCGCGTCTGCATGGCGGGGTTGTTGATGTCGCAGACGAACCGGTCCCGGAGTATCGAGTCCAACTGGTGTTCGCTAACCCTCGTAGCGCTGCGACGAACTGCCCGAGGGTCTCCCCGTCCCGGCGGCTCCGGTTGTTGAAGCGGAACCGCTCCATAAGCGTGGACGGCGCCGGGCTGAAGTGCGAGCGCAGCGTAGCGAGCAGCTCACCCAGCGTTTTGACGTGCTGCATGGCCGGCTTGAGGAGGTCGAGCAGGAGGCTGAAAACGCGGATCCCGCAGCTGGCCAAGAAGATGTCCCGTTGTTTCGCCTCGGGCGTGTCGTTCGCCCGGAAGAACACGTGGACATGTTCTTCGTAGACAGGCCAGGCGGACCCATTTCCCTCGAACGGCTCGAGCCTCCCGTACAGCCCTTATAAAAATGGTTAATGCCATTTGGAAGTCATATTATTGCCAAATGGCAACAGCTGTTTACAAATAGTCAATCAGCAGGCAACAGATGTTAATCGTCATTGAGACGCCACCCTGCTGACCCGCATAGCCATTTCGCCACCGTCAACTTTTTGCCGTTCTATTGGTTATTGTCGGTGTTTCATCAGTGTATCTACATGTTAACGTTAAATGGCTAAAGGAGGCAATCAAAGGACTATACATTTTATAGTCTTTTGACTGCCTCCAATAGCCAATTAGCATTAGCATGTAGATACACTGGCAATGCACCGACAATAACCAATAGAATGGCAAAAAGTTGACGGTGGCGAAATGGCTATCCGGGTCAACAAGATGACATCTCAATGACGATTAACATCTGTTGCCTGCTGATTGACTGCTCTTAAACACCTGTTGCCATTTGGCAATAATACAAAATGGCATCAACCATTTTTATAAGGGCATAATTATCACATAGACGTCATTTGATTGAATTTCGTGACCATTTCGCCATTGTCAACCCCTCGTAAACTTTAAGCTGGCCAGCCGAAGAACTGCAATAGTTTACATGGCCTACCATTGGTTCCATGCCTGATACACATAGTGCCGCGGCTTGCAATATGGGAAGAAAACAAAGATTGAAGGACAATTTAAAGACCCAAAATTTATTTATCACAATGTCATTAAAATGACGTGTTTTTTTTCAAGACTAAGTTAATCACCCAAATGTAAACGATGAGTGAAAAAATAACCTTTCCTTGCTTCCTGACATGTCTGTAAGGTGTCAGCTGAAAGAAGAAAAACATTATAAATTAAGTGGGCATATAACCAGAAATATTCTTGCAGCACATTCAAAAATATGCACAGAAGAACCTTGCTCAGATGTTTTCTCGGCTGTTATGTTCACGGAAACCGGTCCTATCGAACGTCCAAAAGTATATATGTGTTAGAATTACAGGCTTCATGAATTCCCTTCTTGGTTCTTATGCCCAAACACTGCCACTCAAGGTGGCCGGCATGACTACTAGGAACACATACCCTGTTCCCTTTGTTTTACTCCCTTTATGTTACCTCCTTGCCTCTCTGCACTGTGTTTTTTGCTTGGTCCTGTATGACAATAAGAGATTCAGGCTCTCACGACACCCCATTTTCTTTACCACCTCCATGCCACCATGTTCAAGCAGTGCTGATTGCATCAAGCCCCACTGCTTTGATGTGGCATGCAGAATGCAGTGATTTGTTTGAGGCAGCCGTGGTTTAGCTCGATGGGCTCAGAATTTTTGCATCCTTATATTTCAATATTTTTTTAACTGCAACAATAGACAACGCATCACTGCGATGGCGCGGCTGTCGGCACAGCACATGTACACACATGTCTGCTCACACGAATCTAGTTCCGGCGTATGCAGTGCCCATAGCTGCTGTGGGCAAACACAAGCTTGTCTGTAAACAGTGTTACTTATAGTTCAACCACAATTTTAAGAAGTGTTGAAAAAATGGTCAACATATAAAATAAGGCAGTCTTTTTTACAGCCACAAAAGCTAAGGTAAGATAAACAGAGAATACAGCTTCCTGAAACATCTATAGCTATCCCAAGGGCATTATCAGTTGTTACATCTTCGCTCATGTCATGATCCTTTATTGTGACTGCATAAAGATGCAGCAGCAGGGTTCTACTGTATTTCACACAATGTTTGAATGTGCAATAGCTTTAACTTCCACAACACATCAGCCAACCACAGGTTGTCAAAATGTCTCAACTCCACAATAATGTAATAAGTATGAATACAATAATAATCCCTGGAAAAGGGGTACAAGGGGGAGAAAGGTCAAAGAGGAATCTCCTTTGTCCCCTTGTTCCCCATTTTATTTGATGTGATTATTATTGTCATTCTTGTCTTGAATAAAAGGGTCTACTCGTGTCTCTTAAGAGAGGGAAGCAGCTTACCTGGAAGAGCATAGCGCCCCCGGGACAGAAATCGAGAGAGGCTGTCCTCGACTTGCTTCCCCACATTGCTGTACTCCGTGAAGGTGCGAGCTGAAAGAGCAAATGAGAATTGCAATTTAAAATGATAATAGCCCCTAGAAAGCTACACTCAAGTATTGGTACCCTTTTCCTCATTGTCCATTTCTGCCAAAACGGTCATTCATCCATTTGAATGGTGAAATTCGTTCATGCGCATGCAGCTTGTGGGCACTGCCATGTTGTTATTGCGTCATTACTTGAATTTAATGTAAATATTCACTTCACCTTAGACAAAGATTTATCTATTACTTTTGATAAGATCTTTGGATGCTTGGCAATTTTAACAGCAGCCTGGGGGGCGCACTCATAGATGCACCACTCTTCAATCAGTTTGGGGAGTGCGTCTTTAAACGCTCACTCTTTTTATCGTACGGGAGGAAGCACCATCTATCCCCTAACATCGGAAATAATTTTCCTTTAGAAATTAAAGCTATGATGGTAGCACAAGAAAAGTTTCGTACAAAAAAATATAAGCAAAATAGGGACAAAAAAAATTTTTTTTGGTCATGAATCTCCAGTCACGGGGTCAAGAAATAGATTAATCTTGTGTGTTAACATTTTTTTCAAAGCAAAAACATGACAGGACTATGTTATCAAGTGTATAGCTCTTTTTACTGTGGTCATAATGAGGTGGCATAGCCTTTGTCATTTGCCCAATAATGCTCAACAAACACAAAACTAAAACAAAAATTCTCGCAGACCAAGAGCCATTACTACATGCAGTGCAAGTTTTGAGGGTAAACATTTTGGCAGAGGCCTGCCTGGTCGGGAGAAAGCTTAAAAACTCAAAAATATCCGTCCACACACCCGCATCTGTGTTCCCTACATAAAGGGGACTAGCGAAGCGCTGTCATGTATGCTGGTAAAAGAAAGTATTCAGGTGTCCCACAAACCGGTATCAACACTTTGACGTATGATGCTGCGAATTAAAGGTCATCCCTCTAAACAAAGAGCGCAGGGCATTGTATATTCAATTCCATGCCACCTACATTGGAAAAACAAAGAACTTCCCAGAAAGAATTCAACAACACAAAAACAACTGCAAATTCGACCACGAGCGCAGCGCTGTTGCGGAGCACTGTGAGGACAATGAATATCGCATCAACTTTGCCAACACCCTCATAAATGTTGAGACAAACTTCTGCCAGCAGCTTTTTATAGTCATGGCATATCCAAACAACACCAGGAAACATCAATAGGTCCACTGGCACATTGCCAGCATGCTTTGTGAACGGACTCAGCCACCTAACGAAGCGAAAAAAAAAAAAGAGACTATGGTAGAAGAAAACGAAGCTGTTGTCCCCTATCTGGAAGCAGTCACCCCTGAAGAAAAAAACAAGCTGTTTTTGAAACGTTGGGACCTTGTTGTAGAATATGGTTGGTGATTTTTTTCAAATTCCAATGTATGAGTTTTGCATTTGTTTGAGTCATCATTCACTTTTTTACCATATTTACCCGCATAATGAACACACCTCTTTATTCTGAAATTGACATATATTTCGGGGGTGCGTTCATTATGCAGGGTAAATTTCTGCATTTACACACTTCGCGAAAATGTAATTTTAGGTGGCAGTATGACACGGCAAGGTACTGTGGCATGTCTCCACTGACGGAGGCGCATCGACGGCTGGTCGTGGGAGCGCTACAATAACTATGTTCTACAATTTGAAAACCTTTTTTCAGGGTGCTTTCGGTGTGCCTTCTGTCAAAGGAAAAGCGCCCTCCTAGTGAAGAGTAAAAAAATCTTGCATGTAAGAAATTTAGGTGTCCAATAAAAGCATATGACCAAATAAGATCACATAAAAACCTTATAAAAATGTATAAGAACAATATAGGAAATATATAAGATTATATAAGAAGTTTTAAGAAACTAAAAAGAAGTTTCTTATAACTTCAAATATAATTTTATATTGTTCTTATATGTTTTTATAAGGTTCTTGTATTTTCTTATATGATCTTATTGGATCATACGCGTTTGTTGGACATAAAATTTTTTTATACATTTAAGATTTTTTTACTAGGGAAGCTCACTCAGCAAGGTTAGTGACGCGACCGTCCTTAGGCCTAACCACTTTCACGATTTCACTGTCCGAAAGCACGCTACAGATGACCGCGTGTTTGTTGACATCAATGCATTCGGTGGGCGAAACATGTCCAAAGCTGGGCAATTCCTCGACCCCAGCTTTGTTACATGTATGCGCCGCTCGGTTTCACTCTTGATCACATCCGCAACTACACACTTGCAGCCATAAAAACATATACCGCTATGCTTTGCCTGGTTTGAAGTGGCCTGGCCGCTTGGCGGCGAAAGAAAATTGGCTTGATGGCTAGCCGAGTTGGATGTAGTTTGAGACTCACGGAGCGAGTAGACGCGGTAAATAAAAACATTCTAAAAACTTCTCAGGTGTTCCTCAAGCTTTGAGTACTGTGACCTATTTAAAGCTTGAGTAATTAACATTCACCTCTAAGCTGACTGTGGTGGTAACTACGCACCCACCGGATCAATCAACCACCTCCCTCTCGTTACCTGACCCCGCCTTCTGCACATGGTTATGGGCGGGAGTGTAACACATGGCAAAAGGTAGACATATGACTGGTCCAACGAGCATGTAGCTTCTACTACGATTTCAGCTGGTCATTCAACAGAGTATAGTGATGCAGCACAAAAAAATTTGTGCCATTTCAGAATGTCTGAAGGAGAACAAACCCTCAAACATCCTGAAACTGTAGAGAGTTTCCTGCAAAGCCACTCGATTTGATTGGCAAAGCAGTAAATAAAAGGTACACTCACCAAAGCACTGTGTCGCCCATGATAAGCCTGCAACTCCCTTCAATAATTGGGAAACAACCCAAAAAGCCACAGGAATGTAACACTGGATCCTGAAACAGAAAAACCAGCAAAATGCAGGAATTAACACAATATACAAACCGCTTCAGCGAGTGACACTTAAAACTAGCTACAGTTCTTTGGGCACCGTCTTTTTATTACAGATAATTGAGTGGGGACGTGCTGTCATAATTTTTCTAGCCCTGTAAGCCTTTCCCATTCGAAGGTCTCCGACGTCGGTTTCGCAAACTTTATAAAATCTGCCATTGCTCCATTATTAAGTTCTAGAGCAAGTGACAAGTTAAAATTTCAATGGTGGAGGCTCACAGACATTAAGCACCTGCTTCAAGCCCCTCGGCTGTCGAGAAAACACTATGTGAACCGCTCCAAAAGATAGGTTTTGTGCAGAAGAGAGATTGAAGTACGCTACTGATTCAGTAGAACTACATCATATTCATCAACCATTGTTAGCCGATTCACTATGCGACTCATCGTGAAAACGAGACTTGGACTTGGCCAGGGCAATATGTTTTACAGAGAAATGTTTACCGATTTGACGGACGCTGTCATTTTATTAAGCAGCCTTATATATTTGCTCTATATGAAGCAGATGAAGAGGAGCAAAACACAAATAGTACTATAGACAACGGCAAGTTGAAGAAGTGATAGGACAAGCGCTACTTGTGGTTCTTCAACTTGTCCTCGTACTGCCATTTGTGTATCACTATTGTTTGAGCAACTTGTCAAGCGGTTCAATTTAGTACCCGTGAAGCGGCTTGTCAGTGGCCTTGTCACTAAAGCAGGGAACATGCAGACAACAAATCACTTTGATGGTGATGACCACAACATTTTCATGTCATCTCAGAAAAATCGCCCCCCCCCCCCCCAAAAAAAAAAGCTGATCGTGCACTTATGTTGCAGAATGTGTGCATCGTCTCACAGCAGAGACTGGATGGTCACACTGCAGTTCTCTTCGTGCGTTACACTCCCAGTTTCAATGCGGTGACCAATAAATGTTTCGGTGATGCAAAAAAATAGAAAGAAAAAAAAAAAAGACATTGCTCTGAATATTTTGTTGTTTTCCTTATTTAACTTATCAAAACAAATTTCCCGTTAATTGGACCTCAAGATAAACGTGACACGCCGGCCTATTAAGGATAACAGCAATCCAGTCCTCGTCAAATTAACTGAGGGCAATAAAAAAAAAACAAGGAGGTCATGCAATAATTGTATAGGGGAATGGCAACGGTCCCAGGAAGATATGCTTCAGTTTGTGCAGTATCATTGATTTCCTCATTAGACAAGTGTCATCAGCTTCGGCCACTGCTCATGCATTACATTTTAGAGTGAAGCACACTGTACAATGGCATGTTTACTCCATGACATGCCAACCTTTTGCTGGGTTCCCAATTATCCTGAATAACACAAAAATTTGCAAATAAAAGAAGCAGTTAGATCAATAGGTCACAAAAATCTATGTGAAACGAGCAGTCTAGATCAGTGCATGCAGGGTGACTCCATGTGGGGCTGTATAGGAGCTTTACAACCACCCCAATAGCTTGTTAAATCAAACCCAATTATCCTCTGCTAAATGTGTGAGCTACATGGTCTTGGTAGACAGTTCAAATTCCTCACTTACCTTGCATATAAGTCCTAGAGTTGTATTTACACTGCTTGCGTTTGCTTTGGCCTCCACCCCCCCCCCCCCCCCCCCCCACCCATTTTCTCCCACACTAGGTGGCAGAAACACTGTTCTTATTCTGCATGTGGCTGATTATTAAAAGCCTTTTGGCTTTTCAATTTAAGTAAATGCACATATTGAAAAGGAGCTTATTGCCTAGTAATCAGGTCTACGAGAAAATTTTGAAGTGTAGAATATATGAAGTTTGCTAGACCTATGGCGGACAATATTTACCCTCCAAATCAAAGCAGCACCAAATGTGTCAGCCATGTGCCCATGACAACTTCAGATGAGACTAATGACAAATGCAAAAAGCATATGATAATTACAGAACGGCCCGATACTATGACCCAGAAAGTTGAACAAGCTTACGTGAACACGCTTACAAAAAGATATCTAGAATGCCAAAGAATCAATGGAAATAAAAATAGGAAGACTTGACTGATCCTCTCTGAAGTCCCGATCTTGGTATCAATAGCATGCATCGATGCTTACAATCATGTTCTGCGGTGTAGCCAGAAAACACACCTGAGTGAAGCTCCCAATCATTATGCTCTTAGGTGGACAAAAGGCTCACTCCAAACAGCTTTCAGCAATAAAAAAAAAGCATGCCAGATACTAACATAACATGGTTTCCCCAAAAATAAAACATATAAATCTCCAACATCTTTAGGGGCTAAGGAAACAACCAAGGACGCAAAAGAATGAAGCACCTCATCCCAAAGTGAATGGAACGCCAAGGTGCAACACATCGCTCTCCTAAGCAACTAACACTACTTACAATTTTTTGAACACCTTCCTGGTAAACTAAGAGCGGGAATATTAATTATAATTACATGTGGTGCATCGCCTTCAGGATTGCTGGGTGATGTGAAACTCTAATGATCTTCAAGATTAAAGTGAGCAGATATTTTTTACTTGGCCTGAAAATCTCTCATACTTTGTATCTTGCTCAGAGTTAAGCAATAACACCACAGCTATCTACTAACACATTACGCCTAGAAAGTATCACCTACGTAAGACAAGAATGATTCAGACACTACCTATTGTTAGCGCCATTTTGTAAAAGAGACTTGCACAGTCTGCTCACTTTCCATGTGGCACACCCATGAGTTCTTTCGCCGGGCAGATGTGCCAGACGCATATTAAATCTCTCACACCGGCCTCCATGTCCACAACAAGGCTCTAACATTTCAGAAGTGTGGTCATGTGGCCATGCCCCTCTGCAGATTGACTGCTGTGGTGACATGTAGCTCAACAGCGGTGGACTTCTCCTACTAGAACCTCAACATGGAAGGAACGAATTCCCAAGGGCTACGGCAGAATGTGCGGAACTTGAACTGACCGGCTGTGGCAGCAAACCCTCTCAAGTTCCAGCCACCATTTCAACAGGGACGACGGGGAGCACAGGCTTTGTCAGTAGCGACGGCACCCCCACGAGCCAAAGTCCGTGGCAGCACCTGCGACAAAGAGCCCTTGCATAATCCCTGTCACCACTCCGGCTGGGATCACAGGGAGCACAAATGATGGCGGTGGAGCCACCACGAGCGAGAGCTACATCGCAGCACCTGCAGCAGCGAGGCCCCCACAAGTATACCACTCACCATCTTGAATGGGAACTCGGGGAGCGCAAGCGTTGGGAGGTGACAACAGCGCCACCACCAAAAATGATGTGGCAGCACAAGAACCAGGTTCTGATGACAACAGGCGCTGACATCCAAGTCAACTTGGTGGCTGTCCAATCAAACAGACGTGACGCGTACCTGAGAAGGCAAATAATGTTTTGTAGTGATCGAAGTGGCCAAAAAGTTGCCAAGCGAAACTCAGCATTCAACTCTAATGATGAGCCACGCTGTTTCGACTATGATTGACATATGTCTGCGAATTGCTCTAAACCGCAGAAGTGTGAAGGCTGCATCAATTTTAATGGACATGGACAATTAATGGACCATTTTTGTGTGCAGGCAACAAACTGCCAGCAAAAACAGTGATGAAAACTCAAGTGAGTTACTCCGACACTGCTAAATAAATAGGGCAGCTTACCATCATCTCCTATTGATATCTGCCATTAAGCCTGTACCTCAGCACTGTAGGTGATGTCAGTGGTGTCCGTCTCAGGGAACTCAAACTAGTAGTTCACTGAGCAACTCCTCCTTGACCAGGCCTGCAGCGATTATAAATATGAAGAACAGATATATTACGTTACATAAATGACACAAGATAGAAAAGGCACAGACAGTACCATACCTTCCAAGTTTGGGGACACCAAATTCGGGATAATTTCTAAGCAGGGGAGGGGGGGGGGGGTGTTTTAAAAAGAAATATTGAGAACAAATTTGCATGAAGACAACTTCATTATATTTATATATTGCACTGCCTATGCTCATGGGATTGCAGCCATCCACAGTGATGGCAAAAACTCTTCTTTAGTACAAAAGAGAGGGGGAGGGTAATTTCTCTTTTCGGGAGGTTTTTCTGTCAATCATACAAACTGATCAAAATTTAAGAGACTTCTGGGTAATACGGGAAAGTTGGCAGGTGTGCAATACTAAACAGACACAATTTGCTACCGGCAATGGCAAAAGTGAATGCAGGTTGGATCAGCTATGCATAAAGGTACTTTGAACAACATATACCATATAGAGTGTACTCACGCAAGGCTAGCGAGCGGTGCACTCTGGGTACATCACCGTATTTGTGTTCGTGAAAGCAGACAGCGGAAAGCGCACAGCCTCACGGGCCACACTATGAAGCGAGCATTCTACGGTTTAGGTGACACAACGCATGAAAAAGATGTCGCTCTTGTGCGACAGTCTGCTGTTGCACAAGGAAAAAAGATGAACTGGAGAAAAAAAGACAAGGACAGCAGGCGTTGCAGACTCCCAGTTTCTGCAAATCCCGAGAGTCCGAACATGCGTGCAAAATGGTTTGGACACTCCACTTGAAACGAGAATAACTCACTAGCATCATCGGGCAAAGCCCACACAAAAATCATGTATGTGAGCATGTTAGTGAACGCACTCCGCTTTTCTCGCATAAAACGAGTGGTCACAACGAATTTTCTAAGCAGAGGCATTGCATAGGGGTCAAGGTGTCCGCTTCATACGCAAGTGGACGCGGGTTCCGTCCGCAGTGGGCCTGCTTTTTTTCTTTTTTTTTCTCAAACATTTTGTTTTGTCGACGCATTTGGCGATATTTAGGACATTTCTTTTTTTTTGCGATAAACAGTAAAAAAAAAAAAAAAATCGAATGTTGTTGAGAAACTCCCAAAACTAAATGGTATGGGACTCCCTTTCGAGGTGCGATCGGGGACAGCGGGGCTTGGATTGCCGGCTGGACGCCGCGATGCGGCATGTACTGGTTACGATTTGTAATTAGCAGCCGATATTGTCGCCGCGAAGCGGCGTGAACGCAGGCGGGGGGCTGTGTTAACGAGCTCCCCAGTGATACACGCGCCGTTCTAAAAGGGTGGCCCGAGCGGCATGATCTCTCGGAGGAGTGCGTATAGCTTTACTCTCTCTCTCTATATATATAGCGCAGTAGATCAAACGGCTCCAACCACAATGTTTTCTTTTTTTACGCGTTTCGCTCGCGTCGCTTGAGATCACCCACAGCGATAAGACGCGCGGGCCGACAAAGAAACCTGGCCAGTACAGATATGGGTAGGCAGCGATGCGTGCCGACGCGAAGTGACGACCCACGTGCGATAAAACGTTTGACAGGTCGACCGACGTGTTGGGTGACCGAATCATGGCTTCGCAACCCGTCGGACGGTTTGACGAAAAGCGCGAGGAGAGATGCTCGCCTAAGGAAAATACCTGTCAGAATACACTTCTCGGGCGCGATTTGGCAAGGGCAGGGCAAGGAAACAAACCAAGGAGATGCTTGAACGGAAGCTTAGGAGGACACAGAGAAAAAAGGCTTACCTTCGAGAAGCACCGAGGAATGAGCCAATTGAGCAGTGCCCATAACCTCCAGGGCTGTTCATTCTTGCTCGCGTGGTGCCTCGCCACTTATTAGTCGCAAAATCCATTCTCGGACGCGGCATATCGGATCGATATGAGTTCTACGTAAAAATAAAAGACACATCAAACCGCAACAAAGCTTCGGAAGCTTCGACACAAATGAAGTTTATGGTGGATTGGATTGGCTTGTAAAAGACTTTGTTTCGAGGTGCATAATAAATGCGAAAATAAAAAAGTTAACGTAACATTATTCGTAAAACAGTGGCGAACCGAAACAATAAAACGTTTTAACAAACTTAAAGAACTAAAACAAATGTATTAAAATAAAAGTTTTATACGCGATACGAAACTTCGCTTAGCCACACAACTACGACGGGATTTTAGTTTCGGTTTGGAATCGGAGGCTGCGTATTTTCGACACCGATTGGATATCCAGGGGGCGTGGACAATGGCGTCATGGACGTAAAAATAGCAGCTTTTATGTTGACATCTTAGTTATTTTTACGTCAACAACACGTTTTCTTTGGATGCCGCTGACTGCATTGTGAAATGTCGGTAGCTCGGCGTGTGTGTGGCCGGGTGCTCGGCTCGGCGGCTCGGCGGTGTCCGCGCTGGTGCGTGTTGTCAACATTGCCGCCTGTACTCGTCGCGTTCTTAGGAACATCAAAATAAGCGTTCTCCATTTTCAAACTTCGCCCGGTGCCGTCCGTCACTCCTGTTGCAAATGAAGATTACGTGTACCGGAGGCGACAGAGCCCAGCCGCAGTAATTTCGTACGAATTTTTCTGGAGCTGTACTTGTGTGCAGTACGACGGATTATCACCCTTGCATAGAATAGCTGCGAAGGCCGTGCAAGCAGCGAGCGAATAGCCTTGACTGGCATGACTGCACCCGATGCTGGAGCGCTCGTGGCGCGCGATCCAAAGCAACGAGCTCGCGCTTTTAGCACTGTCGTCGACAGCATTTTCCTTTTCTTTTTTTCAGTGTTAGTCACAAAAAAGAAATGTCGTAAATATCGTCAAATGTCCCAACAAAACAAAATGTCCGAAAAAAAAAAAAAAGGCGGCCGAGGCTGAGGTTTTTAAGGGTCTCTGAAGTGATTTTTTTTTATTTATTTGTTTGCCAGTTTTTTTGCGCCCCTCTTTGAGTACTGTCGCATTTTTTTGTATTATTTTCACGTTTATTTTTCGTTGGTTTTACTTCGGATATTATTTGCATAAGCATTTTTGAGCTGACTTCGCACCTGTGGATATTGTCATGATGGATTCGGGAGCCCATTTTCGGGTCTTATAAATTTTGAGCCATTGTAATTTCAACTCACTGTAAAAAATTTAGGAAAAAATGAAACGTTTGTCTGTAAACATGGTTGTATTAGCGCGTGTGGATGTAGATTGTAGTCATATATTAACACTATTAAAATATTCAGATATGGCTAATTGTCACATTTGTTTTGCCTTGCTAACAAAAGTGTGTCAACCAATTTTATTTTAGTGATCTGGTGTCTTCGAGTATATAAACTAATTTATTATTATTTATTGAAAATATAAGAACGTAGGATTTCATTATCCCAAATTGTTAACTTCTCTCATTAATTTAAGAAAATTTACAAAAAAAAATGTACAATTCGTGACATATATTCGGCGATTCAAACATTTGGGCAAGGAATGAAGAAATGCGTTGCATCCTTAACAAGTTGTTTGAAGTTATATAGACGAAAATGGTCGCTCCCAGAAATAAGTAATTGTAAAGTAATTGCATTACTTTTTGATGTAATTTGTAATTGTAATGAATTATTTTTCACATAGTAGTAGTTGTAATTATGGTTAAACTACTTTTGGAGCGGAATGATTGTAATTGTAATTAAATTACATTTTGGAAGAAATTTACCATGTATGGTTTTCTTCAATTTGCCGCGGAACACAAGAGCCAATTGAACCTCTAGCGTATATTATAACTATGGTTTGTACCTAAAGTTTGATTTACTTGCAGCAGAATTTGGCCGGTATTGCGCTGCCACCGGGGGCGCTTGATTGACAATAGGATGAGTATAAAAAGACGATACCCGAATTCTGTATTGACACCTGCCAATAAAAAGACGCTAAAGGGTTCTTCAGCCATTTGATTGCCATTGTAGCGCCTACCACGTCAGTGCCAAACTTCAATAAAGGGGTAATACCGTGTCCATAAATTTCAAGCGAGAGCAATCGAATGGCGATAGGGGCAATAGAATGTCAGTCAGATGTATATTGAATGGCGGAAGCCATTTTTATAGGGGAGCGGCATGGCGACAGGAGCGGGGGGCGGTGTTGCGACTGTCTCGGGGGCGCAGGCCGAACCGTGCACGTTGGTGGCCTCCAGTGCCACGGTTCCTCGTCGCCAGTGTCACGATCTTTCTCGAACGTGGACGAAGGGGGCCGAAGCACCCGCCGAGACGACACGCAGCCTGGTTGTGATGGTGAACGATGACTGGCCGGAGAGGCGTGCGCTCAACGGCGTTTATTGGGCGCGGTGATCAATGTTGCCCGCCCAGCCTGGCGGCCGCAGACGGGCGGACAGGAGGGGGGCGCTACATACTTGTTACACACGGTACGCTCGGCTTGCCAGAACGGGCATACGTGAGACGTTGCTTCATGCGACTTGTTGCAGTTTACGCAGGGGAGGTCAGAGGCGTCACACTGCGCAGTTGCGTGGGGCTGCGCACAGCGAAGGCAAGCCAACTTCCTCCTGCAGCCAGCCGCAACGTGACCGAAGAGCCCGCATCGGTGGCATTGCAGAGGGTTGTTAACGTACAGGTCGACCTCATGCCGGCCCAAGCCAACGGAGATGTGTTGGGGAAGTGTGGCAGATGCAAACTCAATGCGAACTGTGCTTGACTTTCCAAGCCGACGAACACAACGGATGCTTACACTTGATCGTAGCGCTCCAACAATCTTGGTGTCTGAGAGAGCGATGTCAACGTTGCGCACGACGCCTACACTGGAAACTTTTCCACGGGGCTCAAAGGCTCGAACTTTCATGCCGCAAAGCGTGGTCAAGCCTAAAAGCACCCGAGTTGTCTGGCCATTTCGGGTGTTTACCGTGAGAAGATTTTTTCGCCTGTTGAATCGAGCCTCAATGACGGATGAGGGCACCAGCGTCTCCAGGGTATTAGAGACGCCGACCGAATCAATGGAGTCGATGCTCACGTCTGGATTCAGTGACGTGAACAGAACCACCAGACCAACTGTCGGCTCTGTGAGGGTGACGATGGTCGCGTCGCTGGAGCCAGAGTTGTGGCTGCTGTAGCGTCTCTTCTTTCTGCATGTCACTTCCTAGAAGGGACCTTCAGTCTCTTCAATCAGCGAGTCGGACAGGCTTATGGCGTCATCCTGCGCGGTCGGGTCGGTTGTTTCATCCATGGCAGTTGGAGGGGCGGTCGTGGTGTCCATACCTCGCCGGTTTAAAAACCGGATCGAAGGGTCAGAAGGCCCTGGAGGGGACTATAGGGACCTCCCGATGACGTTGTGAAGCTACTTGCTGATATAAAGTCGACGTAAGCAAAATGTTCAATGAAAATAGAGGAGACTAGAACACACGTCCGATGCGTACCTTTGTCTTCGTCCTCAGGAACTCATGAGTTGCTTAACTGGGTGTTAGTTCAGACAGGGGGTAGTCAGTCAACCCCGATGGGCGCCTGGTGTCTCCGCTGTAGATAAGAAATTTAGCGAGTGAGGTACGACCCTTAGCCTGGGGTCTTAAACCTGGATCACACAGTGGTGATAACACAAGCACACATCGGCACAATGCACGACCAGATTAAAATGGGCAACAGTGGAAATGGAGCATGAGATCCCTTAGTACCGCAGCGCAAGCGTTCGCTCCACGTGCTCCAAGCTCTGCTGCTTTAACACACCGCCGGCTTTGCGTCGAGTGTCACACACTTCTATGCTAAGCTACCAGTTCTCTCAACACTTCCTTACAGAATGACACAGAATGTACTCCAAAACCTCAGTAACTTTTTGAATATTTACAGGCTATTAATTGATAAATAAAATATAATATCCAATTAAAAGTGATTGTAATTGTAACGAAATTAATTTGACCCGTTGCATATTTATGTGGTTATAAAATTGTCATTTCTCTCTAGCGCGATTTTACAAAGTAGCTAAAGCAAGCGACCAAGCAAATCCACCCATCACAAAAATACAGCGAAACTTATGTCGACGTCCTCACAGAGTGCGCGGTGGGTTAATCCCTTTAATATGCAGAGCACTCCAAGCGAATGACGCAGCTCCTAACATTGTTTAAAGCCACAGTCCCACTGAATGTGTCAGTTTAGGTACTTTTTGGCAGGTCATTACTCATCTCCTTTTAAATACTGTTTTGTGAGATTGATGTCATCCGAAAGACAATGCAACCTTCTTTCATTTGATATTATGTATGTGTTGGTCTCCACTGTTCATGCGCGTTTGTAGCGTTGCGAATACGATGGCGCGGACCCTCACTCGCTCCGCTAGTTCATGTTTTATGAACGATCCATTAAAGATAACACGGTTCCAATATAGCAGTTTTGTTAAGATGATGTTGGAGCAGAACGTAACGATACACTTTTTTGGTATTTGCACTACTGTGTTTTTTTCATCCCTCCAAATATTGCCCTAAAATTGACAATTTTCAGCACAAATATGTTTTAATGCCACGCGCTAGGGCAATGAAATTAGCTACAGATGTAGTGCTTATAATTGGTAATATGCAGAAAAAAAATCTATTGTTGTTTGAAATTTTTTTGTTTAGATATTTTATATCAAACGTAGCACTTTTTTGTTCTTCGAGTCATGGTACTTCATATGCCGCTGAGGAAATAATTAAACTACGATAAAATCTTTTATAACATTTAGAGCTACAATGGTTGCCCAAGAGGTGGACGATGGCTTTTTTTCATTTTCAAAGTCCTAACGCTCCAGGAGTGTTTCAAACTTACCTGTTTTGACGCATATCTTTTTAGACATCAAACAAATTTATTGGCATCTAATAATATTTATTGTTTGGAATAGATATAAATTGCGTTGCATTAAATTTTCACAATGATCTTGCTCTGGTTTCTTAATAGGTGTAGAGCTTAGCTAATTTTAAAAACAATTA